TGTCAGCCCTCTCTTGACCTGATGGAAAATTAAATATCTCTATTTGTGAGGCTCCCTCCCTACCTTTGACCTGTTGGGATTGTGTGGGCCCAAGCAATTTCCTCAGTGCAGAAAAGCAAGAATGTTTCTGTAGTCCCTGCCCAAACATACACGGCTTTCTGAGAAAAGAGACAACTGCACTGTGTCCTGAGGGGAGGGACAAAGCGGCTTTGTCCCTCAGATAGCACGGGCCTTTCCTCTGAGCCCGTGAGGAACTTCCTCTCTCAGGACACCTGCTTCTGCCTTTCCTTGATTCCAGAAAGCTCTCCCTTCATTACAGCTTGACCTCTACCATCTCCAATCCCCAATCCCATTGTTCTTCCAAGTCTCTCCCCCAAATATGGCCTGGCAGGTGTGAGGCAAGGCTCTGCTCCCTGGGGGAGGGAGGTGATGGGTTAGGGATTGGGGTGGGGTGGGGCAGGGGTGGAGTTGAGGGCCAAGGGCTTCTAGATCTTCTTTCCCAGCTGAAGAACAGTCCCAGAATCTAGACCTCAAACCCTTTTCCAGCTCACGGTAGGAGCAAGACAGTGTTGACATTGGGCAACAGAAGCCTAAAGCTCACACAGGCCTACGGTTAGTGCTGAGGGTCCTGCCGCTCACCCAACCTGCAGTTGGCGAGGAGGGGAGTGTTTGTTCAGTCAAAAAACACAAAAAGGAAGGTGCACCCTGGAAGGGGCCTGTATTGTTCTTGTTACTTCCGGCACAGCCTCCTTGTGCTGATTCTGAGAGACACCAACAGCCTTGTACGGGCACCCCACACAGACCTCTTTGGGGTGTCACTGCCATGGCTCGATCCCCATGGCTGGTGTCAGGCCTCACGGTCTGTTGTGTTATGTTTATGCACACTAGAATGAGTAAGACTGTGGCCCAGAGGCCATCACGCCAAGCCCACACTTCCCAAATGCTTTCACAACCCAGCCACTTATGGCTGAGAAACCAAGCCCGGTGAGGGCTGACCTGTTCAGGAAGCAATGCCTAGAGAATGGCGTCATGAGTGTGCCTGATGCCACTGCCTACTTGCATAATTACCATGTTCTCCTGTCCCTCCAATCACAACAGCAGGGCATGTCACCATAGGGGAAAGTCAGGTCCCGGCCTGGGAGTTCAGAGGGCCCTACAACCAACCCCCAGTGCAGTCCAGGAAGGCTTCAGAGAGCAGATAGACTGTGGAGGATGGTAGCTTTGGATCGAAGAGCCTGTAGGAGAATGTGCCTGGAAGAGCTGTCTGCCTTGAGCAGCCTGAGACAGAGCAGACAAAGAGACCCATCTTGGCAGCACAGCCCAGTCTCTCAGGCTGCACACAGAGGTCAGCGTCCTCATGAGAGGCCTCACCCTGTGAGGCCACAGGTAGGTACCCACAGTGGCCATCCCTGGCTTCTCCAGAGTCACTTGAACTCCAGGTAGAAGATGCAGGAAGAGAGGACCATGTGTCCCTGCACGAGGGCCACTCCAATGATCATCCAAACAGCTTTGGAGCTGAGTGGAGGTTTCCAAAGCTTTTCTTCCCCTAATCATCTTCCCAGGGTTCAGGACGAAGCCTGATGAGTACAAGGGGGAAGGCCTCCATTTCCCCAGTGGGAGACAAGCCTCCCCACCCCCACGAGTCGTTTCATTGGGAGGGATTGTTACAGACTCCACTACTAAGTATATATTTAAAAACAAAACCCAACTTTTTCTTTTGAGACAAGGTCTCATGTTTCCCAGGTTGGTCTTAAACTAGTTAAACCCAGGATGACCTTCACTTTCCAACCTTCCTGCTTTTACCCTGAGTGCTGGGGTTACACTCACTGTATGTGGTGCTGGGGTTCAAACCCATGAGCTGAGCAAGTACTCCATCTTCTGAGCTATATCCTCAGCCCCTGAAAAGGTTTTCTTGACCACTCAGAATACCCACCCCTCTAACTGAGTGAGAAATGAAAGGACCAAAGAAGACCTAGGCGTTGCCTAAAGACACACAGCGATAAAGGACAGCGTCAGAAAAAGCCAAGGGGTCAGGGTTCCTCACGGGCTTCAGCCCATTGTTCTTTCCTTGGACCGAGGTTGGCTTTGTTTGCAGTTGCCGAGGTCTGGAGATGGGGTGCAGCCCAGCTCAAGGGTTTCTAACAGCCTTAGCTTGCAGAAAGTCCTCACCATGCCTCAGACCACACCCATGGGACCACTCCTGGCCCAGCCATTCTTCCACCAAGGGATGCAAAGCTCAGCCTGGACCAAGTCCAAGATGAGGAGTCAGAGAGTGCGGGATCCAGCCTGGGCACAGTGAGGCACACTTGTAATCTCAGCAATCGGGCAGTAGAAGCAGGAGGATTCGGAGTTCACAGACAGCGAGGGCTACGTGGCAAGAACTTTTCTCACAAGAAGAGGCTAGGTAGAGGCAGAGAGCAGAAGTAGGTAGTCCCAGCAGGGGCCACTCCTAGCCCAGGCTGCTCCTGTCATTTCTCTGGATTGAGTTCACTGATGGAAAAAAAAAAACAAACAAACAAACAAACAAACAAACAAACAAAAAAGCCTGGAGTTCTAGCTACCAAAAAGGCTAAGACAATACGATCACCTGAGCCCAGGGGTTCAAAGCCACCTTGGGCAACCATGGGGCCTGTCCTCAAAGCAAAGCAAACGAGTAGCAGAAACTCTGCAAAAGTGAAGAAGAGCATGAAGTAGCAGGGCAGAGAGTAGGCTGTGGCTCCACACCAGGCCATAGTTTCTCTGCAGTGCATCTAGCGTGGCACTCAGGCTACCTAGGACTCAAGGAAGGTGTATGGTGTAGATATGGCAAGTAACTTTTTTTTTCTCGAGACAGGGTTTCTCTGTGTAGTTTTGGTGCCTGTCCTGGATCTTGCCCTGTAGACCAGGCTGGCCTCGAACTTGTGATCCTCCTGAAGGTGGAGGGTCCCAGTGTGCCTGGTTGTGAGTGCCCTGCACAAAGGACCCAGGAATAGTGAGCTGCTGTGGCTGCTCCCGGCATTCCCATTGGTCCACACTCCCTACCCAATGAATGTATGTAGGGTACAGGCATCAAAGACACAGATGTTGGTTTGAACAAGAGCCTAACTGGGCTGGTGGGAGGGTGATAGAAGACACGAACATAAGAGGAGAGAACTGGATATGGGCACCTGGAAGTATTAATACAGATATGCCTAGACTTCATAATAGAGCTGTACTTGATAAAGCAATCACAAACTTAAAACATTGTAAAGGGCTGGGGAGATACTCAACTGGAAAGGTGCTTGCCCCACAAGCGTAAGACCTGAGTCCAGTTCCCCCAGAGCCTATATTAAAAGAATCCCAGATGTGGTGGTGCGCTTTTGTAATCCCAGCGCTGGGGAGGCAGAGACAGTAGGCTCCCAGAGGTTCTCTGGCCAGCCAGCCTAATGGTATCTGTGAGCTCCGGGTCCAATGAGAGACTCTGTCCCCCCCCCCAACAACAACAACAAAAAAGGTGGAAGGGCTGGAGTGAGGACTCGGGGTGAAGAACACTTACTGCTCTTCCTGAGAACTTAAGTTCCATCCCCAGCACCCATGTCAGGCGGCTTCTCGTCTGTCTATAGCTCAAGCTCCAGGGCAGCATCCAGCACACCTGGCCTCCACAGACCCCTGCACTCTCATGCACATACCCACATGCAGGCACACACACCTACACATACGCTACTAAAATTCCTTCCCAGGGGTTACATGTTAACCCATCCTCCCAAGGTCTTGAAGACAAACCAAAGCACAATTCCATGCAAGTTCACTCTGTGAAACCAGTGAGTTTATTGGGCTTCCTTACAGAGCATAGGTGGTGGTGGGGGGGGGGGACAATTACAGGGGTATGGGTGCCCCTCCCCCAACTGGTAGCTGGAAAGCCTTACCCAGAAGAAGTAAACGTTTCCCTGTAGTCACACAGATGGAAGGAGAGTCCACATCCGCTCTCCAGGAGTCCACAGCCTGTATAGACTCTAGTCCCAGGCCTTGGCTGCATGTAGAAGTGGTGGGAGCAACTGGATACTCAGCTGAGGCTTTCCTGCCCTACTCTTCCTTTCTATTCGGGGGTACAAACAATCAACAAATACACCTGGGCTGATCTTGTGTAAGGGGGACAAAGCTGAACTCCTCCAGACGATGGTTGTTGGCTTAGAGGACATTTAATCGTAATAACATAACTTAAAATAATAAAAATCTTTCTGTTGTTTTTAAATGACAGGGTTTCTCTCTGTAGTCCTGTCTGTCCTGGAACTCATTCTATAGATCAGACTGGCGTCAAACTCAGAGATCAGCCTGCCTCTGTCTCCTAAGTGCTGGGATTAAAGGCATGAGCTACCACACCTGGTTAATAAAAATAAATCTTAAAAAATAAAAATATAAGGTGGAAAGAAATAGAGGAAAACATCTAAGCTGACCTCTGACCTTGACATATGCAACACAGGCGCACACATCTCAACACGTGTACACACACACACACACACACACACACACACATCATAAAATGAAAACCACATTATGAATACATCACACCAAATGTACGGATCTTCCTAGCTTTGCACTGTGGAACGCTAGGGTGTGTTTATTGTTGCTTCCGGTGTGGCTGACTGGAACTGCCACTCAATTTGGCTGTCCAGTATTGTGAAGGTGTGAGACCACCTGTCACCAGCCCAAGAAAAGAACAAAACTGTTTCCAGCCAACATTATCACATTTACACCACAGTTAAAGTAGAAACACTTAAGTGCCAGGACCTTCTAAAATAGTTATGTGCTGTGTACAGAAGCACCCTTCTCCACACAACACCTACAGCAGCTCCTCCAGGGGTCAAGGGCTGGCAAATAAATCTACAGATGATGAATATTCCTTGTATGATGTTCAGTAATAATGAGCTTTTACACAGGGTGAGTCACCTACACCTGGCTCAGTCTTGCGTCTTCTACACAGTCCCACAGCTCCAGAGCCACACTCAACCATCCTGAACATTCATTCATTCAACAAACATTACCTGGATGGCTGTCAACCCACTGATTCATGAGTTGGAAACAGGTAAAATATTATTTAGTAACTAGACAGGCGCAGGCAGGTAACTTAATGTCACCCAGACCCGCGCTTCCTGAGCACATGTGCTCTGATCTTGAGCGAACTATACTCATGTGAACTCGTTGGTTAATTAATGAGGGCCATCTAATCTTCCAGACTTCAATTTCCAGTTTTAGTTAAAAGTCCTTCTGTCTTTACAAACCAGGACCGGCTTTCCTGATTGGGCTAACTCCTTTGCCAGTTAAAAAAAGCCCTCTGTGTCTTTAAAAGGAGGGCGGCCTCCTGTCAAATGAGTCCCAAAGCATAGGCTGAAGGTGCGTGGAGTCCCACCCACTTTCTGTGACGTCCTGCGTCTCTGCTTCTGATTGCCGGCTTCCAACGTCAATCGCGGGGAGTGCGTCTTGCTGGGACACAGTGGAGGTCTGCGCTCCGGTCTGAGGGGCGGTCGGGTGTATTCTGCGCTCGCCCCACACCCGCGAGGCCCGCGCCGCCCGACCCAACGGCGGAGTCGCCCAGCGTCTCCCGTGGCACCCGCTCGCTCCTCGCTGGGGCGGGACGTGGCCCGACGGCTCCGGTCACTATGGTCAGTGGTCGCGGGACGGGGAGGGGGGGGCCACCAGGGTTCGTATGCGTGCGCGCGGTCGGGCGCGAGGCTCAGCCCTTTCCGTCCTCGGGACGCTGAGCCCGGGGTGTGCTGCGCTGTCCCTTTGGGAACCTGCAGCCGGGAGATCCAGCCCAAACCGAGCCCTGCTGCCTCGTGTCCACTTCAGGTGGTCCCAGGCGAAGTCCTCGAAGTCCCGAGGCTTGTGCCTGGCTGGAGCTGGATGGGGCACCTCCGGGGTTGTGGTCCCTGCTCTTTGTTAAGTAGCACTCTGGTGGACAGCTTACAGCCCACCCATCGCGGACTTAGCCACTACAGACCGACTCTGCCCCAGCCAATCATCCCCAGGGACAAGCGATCTGGCCACCCGGGCAAGTCTTAGGGCCACTTGGACGTAAGCTCAGTCTCCTGATGGCAACAGGTCTGTGGAGTCAGGACCACATGAAGAGGTGTCCCCCAGTAGTGAAAAATGAGTTACAAGTCCCGGGAAAGCGATCTAAAAGAAACTACCATCTGAGCAGATCAAGCCCAGGAGACGCTGGGCTGGTCAAACCCTGGACTTGGGCAGGTTGGGAAACTGAGGCTAGACAGGGAGAAAGCTGATAGGGATTGTGGTGGTGGGACAGCTAGGACTTGAACCCAAGCCTCTGGTCCAGTGTTCTGTGTTGCATCAGCCCACCCTCCAGGTTGCCATGGGGTCAGGCCTCTTACAGGGGACTAAGTATGGTGGCTGCCCTATACTTTTCAACTTCCAGCAAAGGGCTCTCTGGAGCCTGACCAATATTAGTGCTTGGGATCGCATAGCTCTGGGCTCAACTGTTCTTTTTGTTTTGTTTAGTGATGCTGGGTTTTGAAACCAGGGCTAAATGCATGTTAGATAAGACTCAGCTTCTGAACTACACCCCAATATCTCACTTACAGTCTGGGCTATCCCAATAGCTGCTATGAGGACCCTGTTTGGGTTTTTTGTTTGGTTGGTTGGTTTGGGGTGTGTGTGTGTGTGTGTGTGTGTGTGTGTGTGTGTGTGTGTTTGGGAAGGGAGGTGGTATTCAACTAGGGCCTTTGGAATCCAGAAGATGGGTCGTGTAGGGGCCTGGTTCTTTGTGCTTACCCTTCCTCCCACATTTGGGTCACTACTTTGGGATGCTGCAGGGCTAGGGTCTGAGTCAAACCTGTGCTGAGTGTCCATGGGTAGCCAGGGCATCTTACAAGCCATCCTCCTGCTGGGGTGTGGCCAGAATCAGGGGGAGGGACTAGAAGCACTAGTTCCCTGCTTGTCCTTGGTACCCAAGCGTTCACTTGCTCTGCTGCTCCTGGAAAGTGGCCCCGGTATTTCTGCATCACCTGCCAGGGAGTGGAGCTATTGAACTTAGTTCTAGCCACGCAGAAGCTGGAGGCTGCGTGGCATCTGGGCACCACTGGTGGTAGCTGAGGGCGCCCCAGGGCAATAGGGGCTGGGACCTCAATGTCCATCCCTTACTGTGTAACTGGATCTGCCCTGAACCCAGGAGACCAGCCGCTGGGAGCCAAAGCAACTCCCCTCTGGGGAGTTTAGGTGCCTTGGAGAGAAAGACAATAGTTAAGACACACCAAATAGGACATTTGTCCAGGAACTAGTGACTGTTTACATGGCAGTTGTCATTATACACCTACTGTGTGTCGGGCACCTTGCTACATCCCCGGGGACCGTGGTTGATTTAATGTTTTTAAATGTTGGTTGAGGCTACCTGGTGTGGGCGGTGAGTAGAAGAGACTGTCTTGGGAATGACAGCATCTCCCGCTATTTCCATATCAAAGTCACTGGGCTGAGCTTGAAGGTGAGTCCCAGGCAGAAGACATGGCGTCCTCAGGAGTTAGGGCTGCAGATATCAAGGGGTTCACCCTCACTATAAGTGCTTTTACTTTTGGGGGTAAGAAGCATAACCACAAGTTCCTGTCTGCATTCTTCTAGTGTACATTCAACAGGCCACCACTGGCATCCTCCGCCTAGGTCGGGGCAGTGGTAAGAGACACATGATACCTGCTCTCTCCTGGAGTTCATGCCTGCGGGCCAGGTCACAGCCAGTGAATTACTGACATGGCCCAAGAGTTCAGCACAGACCTTGGGAGCATGGCACATTCCACTGGTGGGAAAAGCCAGCTGCTGGAAGCTGTATAGGAAGGACTGGGGAAAGAATACATTCCTGGTAGCAGGACATTTGGCTTACAGGCCTCGGGACGTGGTCAGAAGTGGGCATTCAGGGAAGAGTAAGCAGCTGATGGAGATGCAGGGAGGCTAGAGGAGCCCAGGGTCGTGAATCTGGGAAACTGGATGAGATCTGAGTGTTCCGTGCAGAGCTTTGCCTGCTGGGCTGTGGAGTTTGGGTCGTCTGCACATGAGGGAACTGTTACATTTTTGATGAATATGAAATGGTTTCTGGCTCTCTCTGATGCTGGGTCGTGGGTGGCCAGCTGGAGTGAGAGGCAGGCTTGCTCATTCAATGTGCTCACCAGGGTTACTGCAGTAAAGCCCTTCAGCAGGATAGAGCCACAGGGACTTGTTTTCTGGAAAGTCTGGAGGCTGAAGACCCAGGTGAAGGTACAGGCAAGGGCACACTCCCCCTGAAGATGTTTGGGAAAGTTCTACCCTGGCTTCCCCAAGCTTCCAGCAGTAGCTTGACTTGTGACATTGGAACTCATCTGCAGATGGCTTTCTTCCATGCATGTGTTTATACTCCTCTTTTAATAAGGAAATCAGTCATGGGACTGGTGACCCACCCTTCTTCATTGTGACCTCATCTTAACTAATTACATCAGTGATGACCATATTCCAAAATAAAGTTGCATGCTGAGGTCTGGAGGTAGGGCCTCAACAGTTCAGCTTGTAACACTCAGGATCCATTTTTGGGATACGTTCCAATGTTCCAGCGTTCCAGGAAGTGGAGAGCCAGCAGTGGAGCTGGCATTTGGGTGGAGGGAGCCAGTGAACCCACCTGTCAGATCATGGCCTGAACAAGCAAGATAAGGCAATAGGATGGTGGGGGAGGGGAGGGAGGCTTCTCTGCCGAGGTGGCATCTCCCAAGTCATGGAAAGAGGCAGAAGAACATTGGGACAAATAGAAACAGAAGTACGAAGGCACTGAGGTAGAAGTGTGTGTGTCCTGTTGGAAGGACAGGGCAGCCACTGTGGCTGGAGCCCCTTGGTGTACAAGGGCCAAATGGGAGGATGTCAAAGATTGAGCAAGCGAGCCAGTGGAGCATTTGAGGAGGTGCCATAATGCCACGGCAATGTCATAGACTGGGTGATTTATAATGACCAGACATTTATTGGCTTCTGCTTCTGCAGGTGGCTGGTTAGGCCATTATCAAGGCGCTGGCCTCTGGTGAGGGCCCGCACGTCTTCTTACTTTGTCATAACATGATAGAAAAAAAAACCCTCCTTGGGATGACTGAACTAATCCTTTCATGAGCGGGGAGTCCCCGGACCTTGTGACCTCTGAAAAACTGTCACATTGGCAGTTAAATTGCAGCTTGGTTTAGAGGGGACATTCAAACCTTAGCTTTCTAGCACGCTGCAAACCCACCCACCCCCCATGTTCTTTGCGTATACAAAATGCATTCATTCTATCCCAGCAGTTCCCAGAGTCTTACCTTATTACAGCCCAACTCAAATGTCCAGAGGCCAGGGCTGTGACCCATAAGCCAGACAGAGGTGAGCCAGACAGAGGTGAGACCCAGGCCGTGTCCTGACAAATCCTGCCAGCTGAGGGCCAGTCACCCAAGCGTCATGGTGGGCAGGCCCAAGATATACAGACATTCCCATCCCCAGAGAGGGAAGTCAGCCAGACATAAGGAGTAAGTCAGCAACTGAGTTAGGTCCTCTGATTCCAGAATAATCTTTGGCTCTGTGCTGCCTCCACGCTCTATTGGAACTGCCCACCCCTGGGATCCACTGGGCTCGACCTAGGCAGCAGCTCACCATCGCCATACTACATCCTCATGGCATTCTCTGCCGTGGGCATCACCCTAGTAGGGACTCTGCCTGGTTGCTCTGGGCCCCCACACTGTGTACCACACCCCAAGCTCTGACATTCTGCAGGCCTCAGGGCCAGCCCATGTAGACTCTACCAAGGCCACAGCTTTGGCCGCTAGAGCAGCAGCCCTCCCTGTGCCCTGATAGAGCCGGTCACACAGAAGATGTGCTGTCCTGAAATGTGGGGCACTTGCGAGGCTTCCTGGAAATGTGCACTTTAGGCACAGCCAGCCTCCAAGACCTCTGCTGTGTTTGAGGGTGTCTTCTACCTCCGTCTCCCCAAGTGACACCTAGCTTCCTTCTGTCCTAATTTCTAATCTCTTTAGTGGGTGGCCAACCGCTGGGCCATACCCTTGGTGCACAGATGGCGCTTCATTCTTTTACACAGTCAAGCTGTGAGTTTTCCAAAACTTTCATTCTCTTTACTTAGACATTCCATCTTTACATCATTTTTCTCCTCTCACATTTTAGTAGGTGAAGTTCCAAGAAGCCACACCACAGCCCTGATGATGGCTGCCCCTTTAGGTTCTGCTGTCTCATCCTTCCTAGGTCATTGTTCTTTTTTTGTTTTGTTTTGTTTT